TTTCTTGTTGAATTCTTGTTGAAACATCTCCTCAGAATCACGTAGGAATTTCCCTTAAAGTTTTTTTTTTCAAAACTCCTTTTGAAATTTTCTAAAATTACCTAAGAGTTTAATTTGGAACTTGCATTCTTCTGCATAGAAATCCCTCTAAATTCATCTAAGGACTTCATGTCATAACAATTCTGGAATTCTGTTAAGAATTTCTCCCTTGGAAAATTATGAGGGAACCCTCCTCAATATTTATTTAAAATCATCACTTTGAATACTTTTCATTTTTGCTTAAAATTCCAGGGTTTGTCCGCAATATTTTATAGATTGTTCTGTAATTTTTTATAACCCTTAAAATGCTTTCAAGTCTCGGAACATTGACGATTATAACTCCACGACCCATAAGTATGATTTTGACGTAGGATTAGGTATTTCGGAACCATATTGCGGGTGCAATTACAAAAAATCGATCGCATTACGAAAAAAGGTCAGGTTTTGACCACATATGCAGATAGATTTTAATTCTAAACAAGCCAAACGATTAGAAATTTATCTACCAATCTGCTAAAATGAACACTTTATTAATTTTCAATGGGTTACTATTGAAAATTACACAAATTTCCAACTTTTGCAATGGTGATCAAAATTATCACCGAATGTCTGAAAACAGCGCATTCCCTAACACAGACTTAAAAATCGAATTCAATGCGGTCTCACTGAACGGTGTACATTCAATCACCGTAAGTGGTGGTGACCGGTCATCGGTATCAGCAGGAGCAGCAGCAGCAGCAAAAAGTAGCAGCAAGTAGCAGCAGCAGCAAAAGTAGCAGCAGCAGCAAGTAGCAGCAGCAGCAGCGAACAGCAGCAGGAGTGCTTCGGCAAACATTGTTCTCCACAGTAACAACGAAAGGCTGCCTGTAAGCAGCGAGCTGCAGTGCTCGTATGAGCAACCATAGGAGGAAGAAGCTGCACCGCTATGCTGTGAATCGGAATCAGTAGCTCTTCGTGAGTCGCTGCGGGTCATCTATGCCAAGCGTGTCACCCTTGCTCTAAACAACTTACAGCTCGACAGCCTCATCCGTGTAGAACACCCACCTCAGATTTTATCAACCATCACTACAAAACGGTCCTTTTCAGGACCACCAAAAATTGTAGAAGAGTATTATTAGGACATTTTTAAGGTAATCAGTTCCCGCAAGCAGCTTGGTATCAAGGCTCAACCTGGTCTATAGAAGGTATAGAATTGTAGGCACGAATGTATTGGTGAGATAAATCATCGTCCGGCCACGCTGGTGGAAGTGTTAAAATCAATATAGTATTTGAGAGAAGCTAAATAAATAAATCCAGGGACATTCATTTTTTTCCCCGGAAATTGTTTGTTTATTTATTACCAATGTTGGTTTGTTTATTACCAATCCCCAGAAAAGCCACAATAAAATCAAATTTGTGAGAAAATAAGCTCACGAGTTTCGAAGTCCCTCCTTTTTTACATATTCTGCATAAACGATACTTTCCGCCCCGCCCCATTCATATAATTCGGAAGGAAATCATGTGAGGGGTGAGCTATTTTGAGTGCAGAATGTGTAAAGAAGGAGGGACTTCGGTTGTTAATCTAAATGCATATATAGAGGTAACAGCAGCGTTGCCAGTATTGCTAATTTATCTGGATTTTACAGATTTTCAGTCGTCTTGCCAGATACACGTTTATTTTCAGATTTTTTAAATAGGGGAAATGGCTCTAATGTTGGCCAATGGATCTAAGATTGGGCCCATCGCTAAAAATCTGCTATTCATCAATTTTATCTAGATGAATGCGTCATTGGGACGGTACTGATGGATATTTTTGGACGCTATTGAAAATTCAATCGATTGCTGAATTTATGTATGGGCCCAATTTAGGGGCATTTAGGCCGACATTACATCCATTTCCCCTATGTTCCAGATTTTTAAAATGTGTTGCTTTATAAATATCACTGAAATTAAGGGATCGTCTATTAATTATGTCACACTTTTAGGGGGGTTTTGGAAACTGTGACGAACCTTACAAAAACAATTAAGGTCCATAGAAAAAATGTGACAAAGGGGTGAGGGGGGGGGGGTTGAAAATGGACCCTCTAATCAAAAAATATGAAGCCAAACTTACTACTTTAATTACTAAAAGCCATCAACGTTTGGACATTATTGCAACATCATGCATGGAATTGTTACAGCATGTTTGTAATGGGTTGCAGAATCATGAAAATTGAGATAAACTAAGACATTATTGGCTGTAAAAAATCTTCAAATTTAAAAAAAAATATCGAGCCAGTTTTTTTTTTATTATCTGGAGTTGTTTAAATTTTGGCTGTAATTACATTTCTTGGAATCTTGGATTTATAAAAATCAATATTTCAATATGGAGGAATTTTCCTAATTTTTGGAATTTAGAGACATCGAAAACTGTTCAGGATTGAAAACAAAAAATTGAGTTTTGGAAAATTAGCAAGGCTTTTGAATCTTGACAACCACCAAGACTTTAAAGTATGTTCGTGATATTTTTGATGATAATTAATTAGATGTTTAAATAGAGTTTTGAAGTAATATTGAGTTACCTTAGCAGTCTGCAATACTTTGGAATTCTGAATTGCCCTAGATTTCAGAACTTTAAGGTAATTCTGAAAATAGTTTACAGTTAAGTGTAAGTATGCAGTCTGTGCAACCTTTGATTGAAGTGAAGACGGTATAAATTGTCTTTTGCAAACTCTTATGACAATTGCATGGAGATTTTGGCAAAAAAAGAAATAGTTAGAATCCGGAAGAGAAATCAAAATTTTTAAGATGAAACTTAAGGAGTATGCTGATACGAATCGTGAGAATAATTTCAATGGAATTATGTCCAATGTTTCTATGGAAGATTAGGTTTTATCAAGTTTTAAGAAATCTGGCAATTTCTGGGAGACTTTCAAAGCTATTTGGCAAAGTACTTAAGTACTTAGGAAATATGAAGAGGATTAGTCTGAGAAGAATGTGACGGTCATTCTGAAGAGCATACCAAGGAAATTATTAAGAATATTCTAAGGGAATTTCATAGAGAAAAAATGAGACTAAATTATGCAAATCTTGAAAATTATTACCAGTTTGAGGGAATAGTGGAATCAGAGAGCGATTTATAAGAGATTAAAAGAAATAATGCTAAGCACTCTTAGAATGTTATAAGGTTGGATGTTATCAAGATTAGTTTAGGGAAATCCGGAAAAGAAGTATGATGATTCAAATTGAACTCTGTAAATGAAGTAATTTCAGAGTAACAAAAAATTTCATGATCTGGGACCCAGGAAAAATATAAATTACCAGAATTTAGAATCATTTCATGATTCTGAGACTTCAAAAATGACGCTTTCAGACTTTCATTTTAGTTATATAATAATATTATTCTTTGGCATAAATTATTTGTAATGGTCATGTGGAGTTACCCGTAGTTTAGGCAAATGGGTAAACTGTGTGAGTACCACGATGTAAGGCTTTGATTCTCACTTCACTCATATCAATAGAAGTAAAGTTTCAAACTGAAATAACTTCGGATTTGATGTGTTCAGATGAATTATTCAAAAACCATTTTTCAATTTCATAGGCATATTAAAGGATGAAGGGGGTGGGTGAGGGGGCGGATGGATATGACTTTAGCTGACTTACAACACGAGGGGAAGTAGCCAAGTCTGAGGCACAGATTAAAAATCAGTGCCAGATGGTTGTAGGATGTGGGACTCAAGTGTTTTAGCTCCAGATTAAGGATGTTGTCGAAACCTGGGGCCTTCATGCTTTTAGGAATCTGATGGAGGTTGGTTAGGTTTACAGACCCCTCAGCTTCGTGAGGGCTGACGATGTTTTGTCCGAGATTATGGGAGCTTACAAAGTGTTGACTTATCGCGGCAGTCTTCTCTTCAGGAGTTATCAGATGAACCACTGGGTCGCCGGGACTATCCAGTGGGGTCAGTGGTGGAATGGGTCTTGGCTTATTTTTAATGAGTTTGGTTAGTTTTCACAAGGGTTTTGCACAATCTGGGAGAGAGCGGATCTTGTTAGCAAAATCCTGATTTCTATGATTACATCAACCAGAGAATGGCGCATTATTATATTTATAGCTCTTGAACTGTACCAGATGGAAAGATGCAGTCTCAATACCCGTGTGGCAATGGCTAGTTTAGTTCAGAATTTTCACACCATCTTAGCTTAGCTTAGATTGACTGTACATATCAATGGTTGCTACCCCGTGATTGATCAGAATCAGTGAAATTGTACAATGAATCAATTGAATGGGGCTGGGAGTGACCGTCCATTCTCATTGTAAAAGTTTCAGTGACTCTATATTTTGTAGATCAATAACGGCGCCGGCCACGTCCTTGCAATCAGGTGGAGTAGGGAAGGAATATTAGAGTGACCTTTGTTGTTTGTGGGCCGTGTTTACCTCTGCACCCCAACAAAAGACACAGGAAAGGAGATTTTGTTAGTAAGTTTGGTTCGTTGGATCAGGATTCACCTTGATAAGTGATGCGACCATGGTTTTAAATGTACAAATAGACTTCTTCTGTAGATATCTCAGGATGGAGACCAGATCGAAACTTCGGGTCGGTTCATCTCGTTTTCTCCATCAGACGATGAAATCGAGGAAATTTGCAACTCGAAAAAAATCCTCGACCAGACCAAACATCATTCCTGCCCAGTGTTCGGAAAAACTCAAAAGCTCAAATCTCATGCATGAGTTTATGCGCCTACGAGTTTTACCTTGCAAAATTCAACGTCGTAAAATTAAATTAAATCCTGCCACTTCCACTTCTGTACATTGCAGCTAATCGAAAACCCCCTGTTATAAGAGCTATGGCAACCTATTTCGATTACAACCCGCTTCAAACTGGAAGGAACTAAAATTTCCATTGCGGTGACGTATACACCACGCTATTACTCAATGAATTAATTACCATTCGGTTGAAAACAAGTCTCAACGCAAGCGACAGTCTACGACGATTGCTTGATAACAACGGTGCTAAACTTGTGCAAGTCGCAATCAGTATGACACAACTGGTTGTTTTAAGGTGAGAATATCAAGAACGTAGTACAAATCAATGTAAATCCTAAATTTTCGCCTGAACAGTTTGATTATAGTGATTGTATCAACCGCTCCACCGCCTTCAACTTTAACCTGTTCAAGGCAGGACCAAGATCAAGCATGTCACATCGAAGGGCTTACACTCGACCCCAGCACCGTCTTTCCAGAAGAACCCATCATCCATCTGGACAATTGCACCGTTGAGGACTTTTCACCGCAACTGGCAGCCAACGTCCCAGACTCAACCAAGGAGCTTTCCATCCTGGACGGTTTCGCCCCCAAGGTCTTCGTCAAGCCGACGCTCAAATCTTTCACCGTTCTTCGAACGGACACGGCTGATGTGCAGATCAACCCAGAAGACAATTTCAACCTTGAAGTGCTCGATATCGAAGGGCATTTGCGATCCGTTCCGGTCAATGTCCACCGCCTGAAGGCATTGGTTGTGCTGGATTTGTGCGAAAACGAAATCGAGCAGGTGGATCTGAGCCAGCTAGATGGATTGAACTCGCTGAGGAAGGTGAACTTGGGCCACAATAATATCCATTCGGTTAGTTTGACGAAGGAACTGAACCTGCCGGGCCTGGAGGAGCTTTTCCTGCATGGAAATGACCTGACGACGTTGGATCTGACCAATTTGAAGGCGGATAGTTTGCAGCGGTTGTACGTTTCTCAGAATCATCTGCTTCGGATCGGGGGGTTCCCCGCTCCGGAGCACAACAAGCTGACACGGGTGGATTTGTATCTGAACAAGTGGAACTGTGAGTGGTTGGAAAGTACGCTGCGGGTTTTGAATGGTAATGGAGTGGAAACGTTGAGCTACTTGCCGGTGACGGTTTGCAACGAGAGTGGAAGCGTTAGGGTCGATGCGATTGGATGCGAATGAGATAAAGCGATAAGGTGGATGTTTGTCAGCTTATGAATTTGGAAATAAACAATCGATGATTTATTATTACTATTTGGGGTTATGTTATTACAAAGAGAAATAGCGAATTTGTTTGCCATACTTTTATAGTGTGGATAGCCGTTTATTATTCATGCTTCAATTCCTTCTTGCAACTGCTTTTTCCTGTTTCTGTTTGTACCTAAAAAATTCTATAACTAGCGCATTTACCAGATGGTTTGAGCTCACCTCCAGCCTGCGTTCATGGAATCCCGATCGGATAACGGATTAAAGCCTTTCGCAAAACATGTTCTAGATCGTTAAATTTGTCACAAAGCGTTCCGTAGTAGTAGTAGCAGCAGAAGTAGTACCACATAACAGTCCAGGGTCCTTTCTAATATCATCAAAATTCATTTCTCCCACACAGGAATCGATGAAGTATCGCATCTGCATCGAGTTAACACATGCACCACATACATAAGCACCAGGAGGAAGACCAATCTCAACATGCATCACCAGGTGGGTTGATTGCAATTAAACATACCTACATCTCATGCAAAATCATCTTAAGCCTTCGGGTCTCCCCCTTCCCTTCCCACAAATTAATTCAATATCCTACGGGAAAGGCGATTGTCTGTCGACCTTCACCCGTCCTCCCTTCCCTCCGGAGCTTGGGTAAACATGTCAGTTAGGATATCCTGGTTAAACGACCAAGCTCCGTCTCATTTATCAAACATCGGCCGGTCGGTCCCCCATGAGCATCCTTCCCACCACCACCTGGGGACCTTTTGTTGCTTTGAGACCAAGGTGATGGAAGTGTGGAAAGCTATTCATTAAAATTCTCACATGGGTGATCGGTTTGCCTTTTATCGATTTCACCTGAAAAGGAAATCTTCAGAACGATATTGATTGGAAACTTTCAGCCCACCTTCAATCCAATCCCAGAAGCGAACGACAATTTTAAATGCTCGAGACGACTGAAGTCGGATATTAGTTTTCTGTGAAACGAAAGTCGGGGTTTTCAGCCGAAAGCCAGAGGAAGATGTTTTTGTCTGTCTTGCCGGAAAGAAATGTCCTTACTTTACTTTGATGTTAGAGGCTGCATTCATGAAAATCAGATCAAGAAGTCGCTTTTAAAATAGGCTTTGATGAAAACAAAGAAAAACCAAATGGACAAAAATCGGTGCTGGCTGTCTAGAAGAGGCACTTGATTGAAACTTTTCAATCTGACTCGGATTGGGAAATGCTGTAAAGTTTTCATGAAATCCAATTAGCATTCTCGATTGACGCCACGCGATTGGAGGAAAATAAATTCCAAAATTTAGAAGCTTTAACTTAAAGCTTTTTTAGAAGATTTAACGTCAGATTCTTCTCTTTGATATCATGTCCTCATCCATTATGCAGCATTCGTCCGATCTTTCTTCAATAAGCCATGATTCAAAGTGTAATATTGCAACAGATGTCACTGTTTATGTGGTACTGATCAGAGACGATTTTTCATAAGATACGCGCGGAGAGAATAACAGTAAATCTGGTTGCACGGCCAACAAAGTTATTTTGTCAGCAAGGTTTGGCAACCCGCAATTTTGTGTTTACTGCGAGTGACTTTACATTTGAGCGAATATCTTTTTAATCGTTTCGGTAGTATCGGTATTCAAACGAAGTATTTGAATCATTATTTTTTGACAACACTGAGTGAAACCAGTTGGAGGGGATATTTTACAGAGCGTTGCGTAAAATTATGCAATCCGCGATTCATGCTTCCTACCCTGTATGAATGATATCTCGATTTCTGCTTTCAAATGGACGTATATGCTTTTGAAAACAATGCATTTGCTCGTCGATTTGACTTAACTGGTAGCTCCCCCACGCGCTAACACTACCGTGGGTGAGCTACCAGTTACGCCAAACCAACGATCAAATGCATTGTTTACAAAAGCAGATACGATCCTTTAAAAAACAATTAAGAAATAGATTTTTAGACATTTTTCCCCAAATTTACTATCTTGACTTATTACACCAGAAACGCCTTGATAAACTTTACATGGCCTGTGTAAATATTTTTCGTTGCACTGGAGCGTATATTTCGTAACGAGAATACAACTGGTGAATAACAATACTATTCCAGCCCGGTTAGTTACCTTGATGATGCTATTGCAAATCACTATTTATGAAGACTGTCACGATGTTCACATAAAACTATGGATAGGTTCAAATTGTTCTGACTTTGTATTCATCAGCCATACAAATCCAATGATTAAAGACTTGACAATCGATAAGCGGCTTTGTAAATATAAAAACAATAGAGTTGTCTCTTTCGCTCGATTAGGATAGCACAGTGCGCTTAATGAATCGAGCGTGGCTGAATCGCATGGGAGCAGCGTAGGAATTAGTGTAGACGGCGAGCTCTTTACTCCTATGGTAAAAAATCATAAGCAAGCGTCAGACCGTGCGTGAAATGTGGCGGACATTGTTCTATACTTTCACTTCACCGGAAAGGTAAATCTTTGCTAGAAGAGACGATTTTTCTAAGATGATTTTTTCCTCTAGAGCGAAACATAATCGTGTGCGTGAGTTATGTGCGTGTTCGTGACCATCTCAATTCATCTTCGCATGCTGGAAGCAGAAGCGTATTGAAGCATAGCAGTGCTCCAAGAACGATGGATGATGCATGAAAATATCAGATTGATTAATTTTACATATTAAAGTTCATTAGGGCTTTATAGAACATTTAGATTTTTGAATATTTTTATCCTAACTGCGAATTTATGTTCTATCAATTAATTATCTTCCAAACTTTTGAAAAGGTAGTAGGACACGAGTCTGACTATTTGGCACATCTTCAATATAACCGAGTTCGGTGATTATTTTTCATATTCCTATAGATGTTGCTTTTTTTCCGACACAAATAGAATCTCGTCAACCCAGTAACCGGTGGCATCATCCTTTACCTCAATAGAAATTTAAATAATTCGGTTATTTTATTTGTATAAGTAGATTTACTTGTAACACAAGCAACCTTCAAATTTGATTTAGTCCGTAAATTCAAAGATTTTGCGAAGTGCCAAGCAGAAAATTTAAAATCTTTTATTTTTGAACTTTACATTCTGTCCTCTTAGATAAATAGTGGACTATACCGTGCCTCATCTTGTTCTTTTTACTTTACTATTATTATTTTTTTAGTATTCTTCTTCCTTCGGATTCAAAGCGTAAAGACTCCTGTATTGTCCCTAGGGTGACTCTTAATAATTCGTGTTTTTAAAGTTTTGTTGAAGCGCAACAAAAAAACTACAATTTTATAATACGAATTGATAAACTAAATAGAAATTAATTAAGAATGTACAGAAAGTTAACCAGGTCCTTATAGGACAATAGCAGAACGTATTTGATACCAACATAATTTATTTTCAGCTCTTAGTTAAAACGTCTACAGATCTATATTATCGTGACTTCCTTTTCGCAAGTTACTTTCGGACTATCCATAAATTATCTTCATGCATATGCTATATTGATCCAATTACTTAATCAATTTATTTTACTTTTCAGCAGCATTATCCTAACACCACAGACAAGCAGACATAACACGCACAATCACATTCATCGCATATAATCTTTTAGTTGGGAATGTGCTTGCATTTGTCATGGTGACGCCACTGAAGCATTGAGCAAGCCACGACATTTCGATGCCAGTTTTTTTTCACGTCTAGTTAGTAGATGTTGAAAATGATAAGTGGTCAAGGCATCCCACTGGAGACACATACCACATCTGACGAATACAGAAAAAAGTTGTTGAATATTACATAAAAATTGCTGCTCATTAGTCATTCCGTTCCAAATATTACGCTGTACGATGTACACATAATTCGAGAACAAATCATGTTGAAGACTGTAATATTCTATCAACATATCTGACAACACTGTTAGTAATGTTTACCGCCGTGTTTTTTTTCTCGCATATTATCGTCGCATTTTATGTTGTTGTAAGTTCGTTGTCCGCTCGTTAGTTTTTGTGCTACTGCTTTCGGTTTTAGTGAATTTCACTCGGTGTGTTGTGTTTTCGTGGTATAGTGAATGTGAAACATTTTTGCTTTGTTTACGTACATATTCCAAAGCACACCCCACGCGATTTTTTTTCCGAAGCGCCATCTACCAGCAAAATTGTGAAACTTTCGAGCTTTTCCTGTGCTTGTGGAATAATTGCTGTATACATTTTGGCGCATTGCTGTCGTCTGGGCTCTACCGTTGTATTGCGCTACCTTGAAATTTCATTGCTTTCCAGTGATTTTTGCAGTGCCGTCTTGTTCCTGCAAAATGAGTGTAATTTGCCATGCTTGCGCCAATGACATCCATGAAAAAACCATTGCCTGTCACTTGCCAAGTGAACTGTTGGATGAAGTTGACCGGAACAGGCAATTATTCTGGATGTGTAAATTTTGTGCGAGCATAATGTCAGACATTCTGCATAGTAGGAATAAAGGGTGATACGGTCAAAATTTGGTCAATATCCTGAACACCCCTCATTTTGAAGGTGTGTGTGTGTGTGTGTAGAATGTTGCTCCTATTTTGATTTTGGAATTCACTCTTCAGTTGTCAAAATGCCGTCCAAGCAAGAAGAGCAGCGTATCAAAATTTTGCTCGCGCATCGCGAAAATCCGAGCTACTCGCACGCAAAGTTGGCAAAATCGCTAAAAGTTGCCAAATCAACCGTTACAAATGTAATTAAAGTGTTTGGGGAACGTTTGTCGACAGCCAGGAAGTCTGGATCGGGGGGAAATCGAAAACCGGAAGCCGCTGAGACGACAAAGAGAGTTGCCGGTAGTTTCAAGCGAAACCCTAACCTCTCTCTCCGAGATGCCGCAAATAAGCTGGGTGTATCGTCTACAACCGTGCATCGAGCCAAAAAACGAGCCGGACTATCGACTTACAAGAAGGTAGTGACTCCAAATCGCGATGATAAACAAAATACGACGGCCAAAGCGCGATCCCGGAGGCTGTACACGACGATGCTGACGAAGTTTGACTGC